CCCAGGCACCATGACTGCCCCGGGTGGACAGTTGCTTACTCTGCCTGCATGTGGAAACAGCCAAAAAGACCTTGAGCCTGGGATGCACAGGAGCCAGCAGCTCCGTCCTGCCCTAATGCCCATGGCTGGCCTGGTGGCACACAAGCCACACGGATCCTTTGCTAGGTTCATGGGCATTTCCATGGTAACTAATGCAGCCCTTGTCAGAAATAGCCCCTGTTTGTGCTCTCAGCCTCACGGACTCTCCAAGCTCTAATGGAGCTCCTTGGCCATCTGGGGTGACATACCTGACCAACATTCAATGTCCCTGTCAAGTGACAGTCCAGCCTCTGCTTGAAGACTCTTCAGAGGAGGAAAGAGCCCCCCTCATCTCCAGACAGCCCGTGCCCCTTCTGCTCCAACCACTCTGCTCTCCCCACATCCCACTGAAATCTGCCTCTTTGCACCTCTCACTCAATGTCCCTAGTCCTTGGGTGACCTTGGAAGATGAGGGAGACCTGGGCATATTTGCAGAGAGCAGGGAAGGAGCCAGGAAATCAGAAGAGACTGAGAGGAGAGAGAGGAAATGACTCCAGAGCAAGCTTCTGCCCCATGAGGCCATGACCCAGGGCACATGTGGATGACCTGTCTGTGGTGAAGGGAAGGGTCACCTCTTCATTGGGGGCTGGAGCAAAGGAGGACAGCACGGGGTGGGGTGAGGGATAAAGAGGGAGCAAAGAGGAAAAGGGACTCACCATGGATGGTCTCTGTTACCTTAGTAATGTAGAAGGCAAGGGAGGAGGGAGGAGGGAGGAGGTGGCACAGGAGGTCTGAGGAAAGAGAGGGCTTTGGAATAGCCACTGAAGAGTGGCAGAGTCAATCAGGGATGAATAAAAGGTGCACCATTGAGGTTAAACTTGGGTGTGTTTGCAATGCACTCAGAGGACACAGTTCAGCAGCTCTTGGGAAGGAGCAAAGAAGATGGTGGATGTAACCCAGGGTGGGGGTTTGGCAAGGTGATGGGGTGGTGCTGGGGAGGGTGGGTGTGTGAGTGTGTGTGTGTGTGTGTGTGTGTGTGTGAGTGTGTGTGTGTATGAATGGATATTATACATTTTGTGTATAGGACCTGGGGGAAGCTGGTTGGATATGTTTGGATTGTGGGAGGGGGAGGATCAATCAATATCAGAAAAAGACATTTAATAGGCTGTTAATTGATTTCCGTGATTAAAAGAAAAAAACAGCACTAGGACCAGACAATCCCAAGTGAATCCTAGCAGTATTAGAGTCAAGGTACAGTGTGTCTGACTGTGGCCGGTCAGACCAGGCACAAATAGTCCATGTCAACATTTGGGGTGGATTCTCTAAATTTGTGTATCTCCTGTTAGAACCAATAGCCACTATGTTACGTCAATAATGGGTGTCTCAGCTGCAGTCCCTTCCTTTCTGGGTCCCTGGCAGCTACTTGAGGTTCTAGGTGTTTTGACGGTTAGAGTCCTCTCCAAATCCCATATCATGAGCCCCCATCAGTGGGTTTTACTTTTACTAGTCAGTCGTGGAACACAAACCCCGCCTCCTTTCTTCCACTCATGGAGACCAAATCCCAGAAAGGCTCCATGCAAGCCCAGCATCACATTTGTGGTGAGTTTCAGAGCCAAGATTCATATGCAGGCCCTTTGACTCTGAATCTCCTGCTAAACACCCTATTCAGACAGGGGTCCAACTGGCACCTGATGCCAGAAAGTTAGGTTAGGTTAATTAAGGGGTCCTGGGCTCCTAACCCTCATGCCCATGTCCTTTCAGAAAGACACAAAGACACCAAATGAAGGTAGAAGCCATGTGGGGTAATGGGTAGGCAACTTCATAAAGTCTTTATGTTTAGGGGCAGCTAGGTGGTGCAGTGGATAGAGCACAGGACCTGAGTTCAAATCCAGCCTCAGACCAAACACTTGACACTTACTAGCTATGTGACCCTGGGCAAGTCATTTAACTCCAATTGCCTAAAAAATTAAAAAAAAATTTTTTTTAATCTTTATGTTCTAAAGAAAGTTGCTGATATTGCAAGGGACGGTTAGTTAAGCAGGGAGGCTCTGTCTCTCCTAAAATCCATAAAAAGCACAAATGGCTCCTTGGAGACATCCTTTGAGCCTCCACCTTCAACCCAACTGACTCAACTATGTTTATCTAAGAAAGATGAGCTTATTGAGGCCACCGAAAAAACTTCCCAGAAGGTTAAGGGCCTGCTAGCCAGACTATATACATTTTTCTTTGTTTATAGAATTTAAGCCTGTTTTATTTAATTTAAATCTGTTTAAGCCCTGAAGTCCACTCAGCTCACAGGGGAGTTGAACATTCAGTGAATAAAGTCAATGCAGAATTGATTAACTGCCAATGGCATGCACCGCTTCCTCTCAGCACTCTTCATAATGGCAGTGGAGAAGCTGGCATGTGCCCATTTGAGGCTGGCATTACAAAAGACAATCATGTTCTACTGCCTAACATCTCTTGGGGCCATTGTGGTCAACAGAATCCCAGGATGGAAGGACACCATATTGTAGGTCAGACCCAGTTTGGCTAATACAATATGGTTCCTGTTTCTCCCTTCTCCAATCCATCTGATACTCCCATCCTCAGAGGCCATTTGGTCTGACCCTCTTATTCTACAGGTGGGAAAAATGGGGCCCAGAGAGGAAGTGACTTGTCCACAGTCACACAGCTAGGGTGCAACAGAGTCACAATTCAAACCAAAGTCTTCTGATGCCAGGCCCACACTCTATCACACCATGCACCACAATCCTCCTACTTACCCGAGTCTAGTTGGTTATGCTCTCTCAGCCACCCTGGGAGGACCCTGTGAAGATCTTTGGCGGGCTCTTCCTTCCTAGAGTGTCGGGGAGAGACAAGGTGTGTGGGGTGAACACCACAGTACCACCTCTCTCTGGCCTCAGTTTCCTTCTCTATGACATGGTCTGGTTAGACCAAGTGATGCCCAAGGCCCCTTCCTGCCGTGAACTGCTAAGGTTCTATATCAGGCAGTCAGGGCCAGGCAGTACCAGTTCTCTGACACCAAGGACCACCCCTAGACTAGGGTTCAGATCCACAGGTGGGATGGGCAGGCTCTCTGGTAGAGATGGTCTGGACTCAGACCTCCAAGAGCAGGCTTGCCAACGGTCAGACAACTTTCTTCCAGGGCTGTGATTTCCCAGGTCTGCCGCCACAGATTGCAGCCCCTGGCAACCCAGTAGACAGCCTGAGACCTTGCACTTTCCCCTGCGGCTTGGCTTCCCAGGCCGAGCTCCTCCCCACCTCCACTGGCTGGGCCTCAGGCAGCAGCTGCATGCACAGTCAGACTGGTGGCCTTGGGGCCACGCTCGAAGCCTTCCTAGCTTGGAAGCCACTGCCAGAACCAGTTACCCAATGATCATATTTTTTAATGATTGAGTCCCAAAGCAGTTATTAAAAGCCAATTACTTTAATAAAGCAGTCTGCTCCAGAAGCCCTGCAAGTATGGATTTAATGTTTTTAATTCAGTGCCTGTCAAGTAAGTGGAGGTGAGTTTTTAAATTAGCTTGGTTTGGGCTCCCTGGTTCCTGCTGCAGTCTCGGCTTCTCCTGTCTGCATCTGTGCTCTCCATAAGCGTTTCCAAGGGAATCTTTCCCTTATTAGCTATTTACATACAGAGAGTTAACAAAGGCACAGGCCACCACAGAGCCTGGCTTCTTCTCTGCCGTGAGTGTGATAGAGCCAGCCCCTCCCTGCACCATCTTAATGCCCACAGCCCCAGAGAGCCGAAAGGCAGCCACGTGCTGCTGAGAGTGGACAAGTGGGCACAGCCACCCTCCTTCCCTGCTGCCTGCACTGAGTGTTCCACTGGTGCCGAGGGTTCAGAGAGACTGGGCTGAAGAGATCGGGGGACTTTGGTCTTGATTGTGACCCTCCACCACTGGGGTCCCAATGGTGGACATAAAAAATAACCAATGTCGGGGGCAGCTCAGTAGGACAACGGATAGAGCTCTGACCCTGGAGTCAGGAGGACCTGAGTTCAAATGTGGCCTTAGACACTTCCTAGCTACGTGACCCTGAGCAAGTCACTTCACCCCAATTGCTTCCTAAATAAATAAATAACTGATATCTCAATTTGTGTGGACAGTGGCAGCATAGTGGGAAGATCCTCCCAGCTCTTAGAATGCATCGAGCTGAGCCCAGGGCCCAGCTTTGCTACTTCCTGCCTGTGTGACCCTAGGCAAGTCACATTACATCGCTGGGCCTCAGTTTCCTTCTCTGTAAAAGAAGAGACCTAGACTAGAAGGTCTCCACAATCTCCTCCATCTTGAAATCTCTACTCCTATGATCCAGTCCCTAGTGTGAAGCCCGAGCTCTCTGGGCTGAGGGCACACACCTTCACACAGGCTATCCCAGTGGGGCCTTCTTCAGGGGAGGGGCGAGGTGGCCGAAGAGCTCTCCAGGCGTGCTCCATCACCAGGTGTCTCAGAGGAGCTCCAAACTCATGGCACAGTGACCAAAGCGTTTATCAGTCAACCAGCATTCACTTATTAGGGGCCTGCTATATGCTCGGTGTATACCTACACAATGCAGTGGATTTTAAAACAAAATTCTCAGAAAAAAAAAGGAAAGAAAGAAGAAAGAGGGAAGAAAGGAAGGAAGGAAGGAAGGAAGGAAGGAAGGAAGGAAGGAAGGAAGGAAGGAAGGAAGGGAGGGAGGGAGGGAGGGAGGGAGAAAAGAAAGAGAGAAAGAAAGAAAGAAAGAAATGACTGATCAACAACTAATGAGTGTCTAGCACTGTGCTTAGTACTGTGGATACTGAGAAAGACAAAAAAAAAAAAAAAAAAACCCAGTCCCTGCCCTCAAGGGGCTTACATTCTAATGGGGAAGATGAAAAAATGGCAGCAAGTCAACGAGGAAGTCAGGACTACCCTCCAAAGCGCCCAGCCAGCCCTGGTTCTGCCTCCCCCCCTCACCCCCAGCCACCTCCTTCTGACCCCCGGCTGTGGTTCTGTTGGCAGGGAATGCCTACCGAGAATGCATGGGCAATGGGACCTGGGCCTCCCGAATCAACTACTCCCAGTGTGAGCCCATCTTGGACGACAAGGTGAGTGTGTCCTCCCTGACACACGCGGGAGGACATAAGCCCACCTGGAAGCCTTGTGGGCAGATGTTTCTGTTGTAGGACTCCCAAGGATCCAGAGAGGGTGTTCCCTCTAAAGCTTTTCCTCAGCCCCCGCAGGGGTCACCGCCCTGCACGGTGCCCAGTCATGGAGGAGGCAGGAGGGAGGGTCACAGACTGCTTGGGGAGATGGGGAGTAATGGAAGCCCTAGGGAGGAGCTCTAGCAGAACAGAGCCCCTCCATGGTCCCAGGGAGGTGGACGACAAGCAGGACGCCAGGAGGCCTCTTCTGGACAAAGGAGCCCACGACGAAATTCATTTCAGTATTTTATACAGACCCCCCCCCCATTTTTGACCATGGGTAAAAATAAGGGACCACTTATTTTAGTCCCCAGACACGAATCTAAAGGCTTGGGGCTCGTTTCAGTAATTAAGTCTACCCTCAAATAATGACCTTCAAGGACAAAGATCTGTTACCAGTAAAGGATAGTGTGGTAGGAAAAGAGGAGACTTAGAAGCCGGAGGCCTGGATTCAAATATCCCCCTGGCTTCTTCCTTATGTCTGCCTGGCCCCTGGCTCCTGTGCGAGTACCTTAACTAGGCTGTGCCTCAATCTCCTCATTCATTAAAGATAGATAATAACCCTGACACTCCTCAATCAGATCATATTGCAAAGTTATCTAAAAGGGCTCGTTAAATCGTTAGAGAAATGTGGGTTATTTATTATCATGATTCTCTGCCTCGAAGGCTCCCGGAGAAAGCACTCCGTCAACCTCACGGTGCCATGCAGTCGTGGGCTGGTAAACGTTTAACTACTGACTCTCAACAGAGGGACTCAGGACAGTCGTTGCCATGGCGTCTGAACCGATTATTACTGTTATCTCCTTCGCTTCCTGATATTGAGACAACGAACAGACAATAAACGGAGCCCTGATTTGTATTTTCTGCGGTCACTGGCCCCATGACCTGGGGCGTGCCATTGACCATCTCCGGGACCCTCAGCTTCCTCTCGCTCGTGTCTGGGGGAAGGGCCGGGAGGGGCCGCACAAGACAGTCTCGGAGGCTCCTTCCGGGTCTCAGTTTTGTGAGCTTCTGTCGGTCAGCGGTGCAGTTATGGGTCTGAAGCACGGCCAGGGCAGGAGCTCTTTAAACGTCCCCGGCCCAGGCGTTGGCTCAGTCCAGTCCGATGAGGGGAGGCTTCATTGAGCTAAGCCTTCAAGGTTAGGAAGGAAGGAAGGAGTGAGAGAGAAAGAATCCTAAGGGGTGAGAACGGCATTGCCACACACAAGATGGCAGCAGGGCCAAGGGCATTGGGAGAGATTTCTATAGCCCAAAAGCCTTTCTCATCCATGATCTCACTAATTCAGCATAATGCCTTGTGAGATAGGCAGAGAGGGTAAACTGAAGTCCAGAGGAGTCCAGTGATTTCACCAAGGTGGCACAGCACGTTAATGTCACAGCCGAGTTTCGAGATTTGGCATCTGGCCCCCAGCCTGGTGTCCCCCCACCAGCGGGCTGCTCTGGTCCCAGAGGGTGAAGGAGTGCCTGTCTCGCCTCAGAAAGACTCCAGAAGGAAACTATGTCTGGGAGCCTTCCGTCTGGGCCTGAGTGGATCTCTGGGGAGTCGGGAGCAGGGAGGACAGCTTCCTCAATGGCCCCTGCACCCCCGAAGACCAGATCATCTCTCCATCCCCCCCGCCTCTGCATCCTTCTGTCTGTGTGTCTCCCCACAGAGGAAATATGACGTGCACTACAAGATAGCGCTCATCATCAACTACCTGGGTCACTGCGCGTCCATGGGGGCTCTCCTCGCCGCCTTCCTGCTCTTCCTCGGTTTACGGTGAGTCACGGCTTCTCTCCCGCTCACACCAGCCCTTGCTCAAGGGCTCTCTCTCTCTGTCTCTGTCCGTCTGCTTCTGCCGTCTCTGTCCTTGTATCTCTGTGTCTCGCAGTCTCTGTCCCTCTCTCTGACTTGTTCTGTCTTTCCGTCTCTGTCTATCTCTTTCTCAGACTCCTTCTCCCCATGTCTCTTCTCTTCTGGCTCCTTCACTCCTCTGACTTCTCTATTCTCCTCTCCTCCCTCCCCTCCCTCTCCCTTTCCCTCCCCCAGGCTTTTGGTCCTGGATAAGATCGGGAACCACTGGAGTTTACTGAATTGGGGGAGGAGAGTGACATGGCCAGACTCGGGTTCTGGGAAGATCCCTCGGGGGCTGAGTGGAGGAAGAGCATGCCGGGCTGTGGCGGCCTCCCCCAGTGGGAGCTCAAGCCTCCTCCCTCACTGCCTTTGCCTCCCCACACAGGAGCATCCGCTGCCTCCGGAATATCATTCACTGGAACCTCATCACGACTTTCATCCTCAGGAACATCCTGTGGTTCCTCCTGCAGCTGATCGACCACACGGTCCATGAGAACAACGAGGTACTGGGGCGGTGGCCAGCTTCCAGGACTCTTGTGGGATGCAGCGAGCGGCCCAGCACAAAGGCCAGCGACCTTTAGTGGAGGCCAGTGAGCTGAACTCTGATTCCTGGCTAGACCCTAGGACATAGTGTGCATGGGATGGCTTGGGGGCATTTAGAAGGAGAGCAGGGATATCAGTCCACGAAGTAAGCGAGATACCCTCTTCACGAGGCACAGACTAAGCGCCGAACCTGGCCACAGGTGAACCGCTACCCTGAGCCTCGAAAACCCCTTCTCTGCCCCAGAAGACACATGTGGATCATCTAGTGCCTGTCCCCAGTCATAGAGATCTAGAGATGGGAGGGACCGCACAGAGCATCCAGCTTAGCCCCCTCATTTCCCACAGGAGGAAACACCCCCAGGTAGATGAAGGTGCTTTGGCCAAAGTCACGTGGGCAGTGAGCACCGGAGATCCGCGGATCGGAGAGCCTGGGCTCGTCCCTGCTCCTCTGCTATGTTAGTGTACAAAAACCAGAAAAGCAGCTTGTAATGGAAAACTGTGAATCCCTTGGAATTTTTTCAAGAGTATATTGAATTTGATGAAATGGTGCCAATACTGCCCTACCTGGCTGTCCCCTTCCGAGCTGCCTTTTGCTCTCTTCTATTTGGTTAATGTTTTATTGACACTTTTCTTTTTCTTCTTTTTTTGTATCATTATCACGGACTCACGTGCGCGCGCGCACACACACACACACACACATACACACACACACACACAATGCACCTCTCCCCTCCCCTCAAATATGAGTCCTCCCTTGTACCAAGTGAGCAGAATGGAGCAAAACGAACTCCCCTATTGGCCATATCCCCGAGCAGAAGCCATCTCTCTCTGTCAGGAGGGAAAACGCCCCTTCATGGATCCTTTGGAACCCTGATTGGTCTTTGTATTGATCATAATCCTCAAGTCTTTTGAAGCTATTTGTCTTTGCAGTGTTGTTTTTGCAAGTTATTCTCCTGCTTCTGCTCACTTCACTCTGCACCAGTGCATACCAGATTATTGATCAAGCAAGGTCCTGGAGGGGGTGGGAGGGGAGGGGCTTGAAGGCATAGCTAAGAGGTTAAGCCTTGGCAAAAAGGAATGTTTCCCTCTGAAAGGAGGGGAGAAGAATGTGGGAAGGCACTGAGAATTGTTGGAGTGTGGAGGGCTGGACTCGAGGGTGGAATTCCTACCTCATAGTATCCATTTTAGTCAAGAAGGACAGTTAAAGATCTACATTAAGTTTGTTGGGAGAATGGTGAGGTGGGAGGCTCAGGCAGAGAAGAAAAAGTTTGGAATGCTTGCTGTATAACATGAAATCAGGAATTAATCATTGTAGACTGGGATTGCTGAGATGTAAGACTAAGACTGAGGTGATGTAGATGAAATCTGATTGCTTGAAATCCAACAGACATTTGTTAAGCACCTAGTAAAAGCCAAGGACTGAGGACCCAATGATAAAAATGATGATGTCTAAGGTCCCTTCCAGCTTGAAGATTCCATTAAGAGATAGCTCCAAGTGTTCATATCTGCCCCTCCATTGACCCTCTCTCCCCACCCTGACTCAGGCTTGGTGTCGATGCATCACCACCATCTTCAACTACTTCGTGGTGACCAACTTCTTCTGGATGTTTGTTGAAGGCTGCTACCTTCACACGGCCATTGTCATGACCTACTCTACAGACAAGTTGAGGAAATGGGTCTTCCTGTTCATTGGATGGTGTAAGTGGTGGGTTGCAATGGCGGGGGGGGGGGTTGTCCTGGCCCACCCCTAAGGCTGAGGGGAAGGTTCTTCACCATCATATTCTATGTATTGTACTACTTACCTCCAATCCAGGCCAAGAGCTTAAGCTCAGGTCATCTTTCCATTGAATAGTTCCACTTGATTATTTGTGCTGAGTGGGGAAAAAGAAGCATAGATAATCTAAACACAAGACATATGCCCCCAAATCATGGATGATCAAAAAAATTCTTGTCTGACTTTAGAATGCTACCAGAGGCTCCTACGTACACACACACACACACACACACACACACACTCCAACAATGAGATATCTCCTTTTCCTCCATGTCCATTTATGACCCCATTTTACTTCAAACTTATGTTGGTCTGGAATCTGACCAAATGGAAGAGAAAATTCAGGAGTATAATTATGTGCCCCATTCATGGGGTAGATAACTGGATAAGTGAAAGATGTCTTTGCCCATTGTGCTAGTCATTCCCAAGTCATTCATCACATAGATGCCTATCATAGTCCTAATGCCTGCCTCTCTTTCAGTCATCCCCTGCCCCATCATCATCGCCTGGGCCATCGGCAAACTCTACTATGAAGATGAGCAGTGAGTGAAATAACTTGTATTCAAGTGTATGCATGTGTGTCCTTGAGTCCATTCCTATTTATCTCTGTGAGCAGAGGGAAAGCAGTAGGAAAGAAAGATCAAATGTTCATTAATCCAGACCTGATCTCTGCTTGGTTCTGGAAGGCAGAACATTGTATAGCTCATAGAGCTGGCATTAGTAGGGACCTACACAGCCCAATCCCTTCACTTTACAGATGAGGAGACTGAGGTGCAAAGGGATAAAGGCGCTGCTGAAAGTGTCGCAGGCAGTAAGCAGCCCCCTCCTCTAGGATTTCACTTCCTGGCCTGCTTTGGCTGGGGGCCAAGGAGGCAGGCCTGATGCACTTTCCTGACTCCATGTTTCAAACAGGTGCTAGAATGACATTCTTCAAAGAGTTTGCAGCAGACTTAGCAGCCGACAAGGCTGAGATGTGAAGCAAGGTTCCAACATATTGGAATTTGGGGGAAATGCCCACAGATAACCCATATTGTAGGTAATTGGGAGCTAGTTGGAAAGACTCCTTTTACACATCATATACATGTATGTGGGGGTAAAATTGTTGGTGCCAGAACAAACCAAAGCCAGAGCCAGAACCAGAACCAAACCCAAACCCAAACTAGAAATTTTGGAGCCAAGGAAGGTTAATTGAGTTTGTCAGCAAGGGAGCCCCACCTGCAGGGCAGGGACTCTCCAAAGGCATGAAAGGACAAAGCTTATACAATATATGTTTCCATTCAGGCAGGAAGTGAATTGGGCATGGGTGCCTTAGGATTAGACAAGGCTTGTTGCTGGGAGCTTGCAGGATAGGAAGAGGGGGTGTGGTGTCCTTGGGTTGGACAAGACCCATTGCTGAGGTTAGAAACAGAAAGGCTGTCCTTCAGGTTAGCTGTCTCAGGTAACCCTGCCCTAACAGGCAGAACTGTCCTTGCTGAACAGAAAGGAAGGTAGAAGACAGGGTTGGAGCTGCAATACAAGCTGGAGGGGGCAGTGTATACAGCAGGTGTAACTTCAGTTCTCCAAGGCTGACATTTGCTGAGATCTTCCAGGCATAGATGTGGGAAGGCGCCACAGCTGGCCAGAAAGGGCAGAGGCTATCATGTTATTTGAACCTGGGTTTGAATCATGACCCTGGGTCAAGTTGGGCAGCCCTGGGCACATCATAACTCTGAGTCTCAGTTTCCTCATGTGTAAAACAGAAATAATGCCTCCAGAACTTAGTTCACAGGCTTGTGTAAGTGTCAAACGAGATGTGGCGTGTGCATTGTTTTTCACATTCCAAAGCACTAGACACGTGCCTGGTGTTGCTGTGGTTCTTGTTCTTCCTGTTGGTAAACTCTGCTACCAACATATGCTGGACTCAGCGCTGGTGAAAACATGTGGTGTGACTACAGACCTGCCACTTAAGTTCCTTGTTTGCACGCTACATTCCACTGGCGAGTGGCTCTGAGGCTACAGTCAGTGGCAGCTGAACCATTAACCTTCAGTGGGCACTTGTGTGGGTCCCGATCTTCACCACAAGCCTAGGTTTGTGAACATCCCCCTTCAAAAAATACATTGTGTGGGGTTGAGGCAGATAGGTGATCACTTGGGACCTGGAATCAAAGTGCACATTCTTAAAAAATGACCTACTGAGGCAGCGAGGTGGCAGAGCACTGGCCTTGGAGTCACAAAGACCTGGATTCAAACCTGACGTCAGATACTTACTAGCTGTGTGATCCTGGCAAGTCACTTAACTTATGTCAACCTCAGTTTCCTTCTCTGTAAAGAGAGGATAATAACGGCACCTTCTTTACAGGGTTGTTGTGAGGATCAAATGAGTTAACACATGTAAAACACTTTGCAAACCTTAAAGAACTATAGAAATGTTAGCTATCATCGTCAATGTTATGAGCTGTGGCATTTCTGTGAGGACTGGAATTTCCTTTTCAAGTTAAGTCCACCTAATGGCATGGTCAGGGAGGTGCCCCCGAGGGGATTGGAAAAAAGGCCTCAGTGCTTTTTTAGGGTTTGCCATGCCTTGTCATCAGCCCTGGTCCTGAACATGACCGAGGTGCTACACCTACTCGAGTCACCAGGGGCACCAGGTTCTATTCTTGATCTTTGGTTCCAGGAGATATGCAAAGCACAGGGCACCAGGATGGGTTGGCAAGTCCTCCTGCTGTGGTAAGTGCTTAAAGAATAGGAGGGCCTGTAACACTCCTGAAGGACCTGCTATCTTGACCTCAGGGTGACTCAGGCTCCAAATGTGCTGAAAGTGCATCCAGGAAGATGCTCATCATTCCAACTACATGGGTCACCTACATAGAGATGGAACGTGATGTGAAAATAGCAGCACCCTCGCTTGGTGCTGACAACCTGGTAATACCTGGGTCTCCCTAAAGTCAATTCAATTCTTTCAGTCCATTAATACTACAGCAGGCAGTTTAGGTGCCTCTAGGCAGTGGTGGTAACTGCCCATCTCCAGGACAGCTCTCATGGTCATCAGCTCCTGATCACTCTCTTGTAATTCCTCTCTATGGAAGTTATCAGGCTTGTCATCTACCATGGGCCCTGGTGGGGACTCTCTTTCCAGTAAAAGCACCAATGGAGACCCCCAAGACATCTGTCTGCACAAAGAGCCACTAGCAAGAAGCTGTAGCTTGTCTTATCTGTAGTCCTTGTCTACACTCTTGAGTCTGAGATAGATAGATAGATAGATAGATAGATAGATAGATAGATAGATAGATAGATAGATAGATAGATGGAGCATTCCATTCTTTAACCACTTACTATGTACTGAATCCTGTGCAAAGCTTTGGAGATGCCAAAACAAGGTGACCCCTACACCAAGGAGCTTCCATTCTAATAGGGAAAGACAAGACTGAAAGGGAAGCTGGGAAACAGGGAAGGACATGGCAGCCAGTGTAGAGATAGGCCAGGCTGGCAAGTGAGCTGGAAAAGGAGAGGGGCACCAAACTAGAACCAAAGACCCTGGTGGCCGAGTGCTCTCCCAGTGGGGGAACCCTTGGATCCACATTTGCCCCAGCTGGTTTGGTTTGGCACTCTCTTGCCCTGACATGTTTATTTCCTATACTCCAGAACAGTCTGCCCTAGTCCCTCACCCCCAAGTCACAGAACTGCCCAGTAAAATCTATTCATCTGGCCCAGTCTCATTATCAATCACTCGCTCCATCAGTAAGGATTTATTAAGCTCTTCTATGCTGAGTATTGGAGATAAAGCCAAGGAGAGCCTCTTGCCCTCAAGGAGCTTACACTCTGATGTGGAGACAACACATACACACACAAGAATATGTCTCTACCAGAGCAAACCCCACCCATGTCTGCCCGCTCTGTGCCACCCCTGCCTGTGCCCTACTTCACATTCACTACCCAGGGACCCAGCCCACATGCCAGAGCCTTCCTTGCATGCTCATGATATTGGAAAGGATACCACAGAGCACTTACTCTGTCCTTGTGTAGCCCTTGCTCTTGTCTCATGACCAGCCCATCTTCTTTTGGGATAAGATATTTCTGTGATGCCGCCCTCCCTTTCTTCCTACCCTCCTTCCACCTTTTTTGGCTAATTCCTTGTCTCATCAGTCTCTTCCCCATTGGCCTTTGAAAGCTCCTCAACCTAAATTGAGACTCTGATATTCCATGACTCACAGCCAAATAGCATCACTGGAAGAGTATTGGTATTAAGAAAATGGGCCTTTGTTTCCAGGAGAGGGATCATTACAAGAACTTTGTAATTTCCCAAAGGCCACCAAGCCCATTCACCTCCTGCTATTCAGTTTTGGACCCAGTCTGCCAATTTGCAAGGTTTATCTCAGGCATCTTGGCTGAACTGGAGAATGTAGCGCCACTGTCTATCCTGGGTTCATAGGCACTTATCAAGCCCCCATTAAATGCCAGGTGCAAAGGCTATGGAAACAAAAGGAGAAGCAGCCCCTGCTTTCTTGGATCTCCCATTCTCCTGCCACCCAGGTATTTTCAGATACATTTATCTCATCAAATCCTCAGGACAGCACTTAGAAAGAGAAAGGCGGAGGAGATAACATTATTCTGGCTTAACAAACAAGGAAACCAAAGTTCATAGAGGTTAAGTGACCTGCCCAAGGTCACACAGTCAATGGGTGGCAGAATCAGGACTCTTGGTGGCTCTCAGGTCCCTTTCTCTACCCATGAGTAACTCTGAAATCTGGGAGGATGAGGTATCTCGTCCTCATCCTTGTTAGCTGCCTAGATATATACTTCTCTGATCTAAGTAGGGAGAAACTCTGCCCTTGACCCAGGGTTTCTTTTTGGTTTTTCAACCCTAATAAGGATCATAGAATGACACTTGTAGAATTGGAAGGGACCTCAACCTCTTCATTTTACAGATAAGGAAACTGATGCCCATGGAGGTAAAAGTGACCCAGCTGAGGTCATAAAGGTAGGAAAGCCTTTGGCCCATGGAGCATCCCCGTGACTACAAGGACTCACTTGTACCAGCCAGAAAGCTGCCATGGTTGTTTGGACCTTCGTCTGGCTCTTGGAATTGGTTGGATCCCTTGCCAGACGTTTAGATCAATCCCTTCATCCTGCAGAGGATGCCTCTAATGCAGCCCAAGATGGCATTAGTTTTGATGGCGACCATGTCACACACTGCTGCCTTTTATGGAGTTCGCAGAACTCTAAAACACCCCCAGACCTGTTTCATGTGGCCTTTTGTGCAACCATGTCTCCCTTATCCTGTGCTTGAAAGGGGGGTCATTTTTATGTCGACTGCAGGGAGGAGATGTGATGTGGGCTAAGCATCAAAGGCCCCTAGTTCAAGTCCTTACCCCCCCTAACTTATTATGTAATCATGGGCAAGTTCTTCTGTCCTCTGGCTCTGAGTTCTTTCTCAATACAATGATGAGGCCAGAGTAGATAACTTTCATGTTCCTTCCATCCCTGACCTCCTGTGACATCAACACATCAATAGAGCCTTGATGGATTTATCAGGAAGGCATACTCATCCCATTGATGCCAGCCATAGCCCACCCACACCTTCTTCCCCTGCATAGTTTTTGTCCCCATTTTCCCATAAATCTTCCATTGAGTACCCTCCCAACATGGTGGAATCCTTCCTCTAGTTCTCTGAATATTTCAGAATTACATAAAAGCTCCAAACCTAATCAACAGAAGAGACCTGGGCAAACATGTCATTCACACCATACTTAACACAAGGTCTCCCCTCCACAACACACCTGGCAAATGGTCATCCAGCCTCTGCCTCAACAGCCACAACAGCCACAACCACAAACTCATGATAATACTGATAGCTAACATTTAGGTACCCCCTGGTTTCCCAATTAACTTGATATGCATTATCTGATTGGGAAATCTCCAGTGAGGGAGAGCTCACCATATCTTGGCAGCCCATTCCCCTTTGGGACACTTTCAATGTTAGGAGGCTTTCCCAGGTAGCAAGCCTAAATCTCTCTCTTTGCCACTTTTCCCCACTCTTCTCATTCTTAAGTCAGAAGCCAAAGAGAACAAGTCTAATCTCTTCTCACTGGGCAGCCCTTCAAATACTTGGGGACAGGCTTTTCTTCTCCAGGCTGAACATCTCGGTTTCTTCAACTGATCACTCACAAGGTATGGACTTGAAGTCCTTTCTCTGAGCTGGTCATCCCCCTCATGGGTGCAAGCGTGTCACCAAGATGTCCTGAGCTGAAAGTGACCTCAGACTCCATCCAGTCCAGTTCCTTCAGCTTACGGATGAGGAATGTGAAGCTTAGTTCAGTGACTTGCTTAATGCCTCACAAACAGTGAGGAGCAGAGCTGAGATTTGAACCTAACTCTTCTGACTGCACAGCTAGCACTCTTCCCAATGAATTGTAATGCATAGCTGACCATTATCACTAGGCAATGTCAAGGAAATCATTCTAAAGTAGTGTCACAGTTGAAATTAAGGTAAACTGAGGCACAAAGTTCCAAGCACATTCAATTTATTGGTAAGGCTAGCAATTACGAATAAAGTGGGTCATTCAGCTCCTCATCCAGCCAAAAGACCATGAGGTTGGGGAAGTACAAAAGCACAAAGAGCAGGAAGCAGATGGAAACAATACGGCGAGTTACAAAGTCTGAAGTATCATAGATGGTGGAAAACAAGCAGAATGGATGGAAGTCTGGAATGCAGGGCTAGCAGCAGCCCCTCCCTTCCATCTTGTTACTAGGGAAAGCTCATTGGTGACGTCCACCTGCGTGGTTCATCAGTGTCACTTCGATAACAGAGCAGACTTTCTTGAGGGATGGGCAGAGATAAGAGGTCAGACGCCCAGCCCAGCATCCTCCTGCATCTTGCAATCTTAGTGACATAACAGATCTCCCCTAATTGTGCATGGGCGATAAGATGTGGAGAGACATCTCTTTGGTGATTTACAGAACAACTTAGCTCAGAGAGGAAAGCTGAACTTCTGAACTTAACCCAGAGACAAGGAAGTGTGGCTTGGGCAGTTACAAAATATTCAATTATAGAATGGAATCAACTATAAAATACTAAATCAAGATCTGATTTTCTCAGTAGTCAAGACTTGGGATTTGGGTTTGCACAGGGTCCAACCTCGTCTTGCACAGAGCCTAGCTAGCACACAAATGGCATCCAAGGAGAGCCTTGCTCAGGTCTGCGCTGATGGAAGCCTCCATCTGGAGGCACATTCATATTTGCCTCTTTTCTTTACAGATGCTGGTTTGGCAAAGAACCAGGGAACTATGTTGACTACATCTATCAAGGCCCAGTGATTCTGGTGCTCCTGGTAGGTCCAAGAGGAGAATACATTAAACATGAATGTCTAAATTATGTCCCAATGGTGTCTGACATCTGAGCAAAAGGGAGTGAGGAATCAGTGGAGGGAGCTTTCCACGCAGGTTAGGTTGTCCTAAGGGCTGAAGTCATGAGTTTAGACATTGTGATCTCTGACTTGGGTTCTGAGTGGGAGGCTGATCAATCAGTTAGTCATAGATGTATTGAGCCCCTAGAGGAGTGTGCTAAGCCTTGAAACAGATGATTAACCATGCTGACCCTGTCTTTATCTCTCCCCTCTCCCCTCCTTCCCCCCTTCTCTCTGTCTCTGTATCTCTCCTTCTCTCTCTGTCTCTCTGTCTCTGTCTTTCTCTCTCTCCTTCTCTGTCTCTCTGTCTCTCTCTGTCTCTCTCTGCCATAACACTCTGCTAGAATCATCTTTAGCTTACTTAACATAAGTCTATGAATCAATGCTTTCTAGATCTTGTAATCCAACTGGGTCCTAAGTCATTAAACTGTCCTCTCTCTCCATCTTGTCCACAAGGATGTCATGAAAGACTTCATTGAACGCTTTGCTAAAATCTAGGTAAATCATATCTTCACTCATCTGCCAATCTAGTCTTCCCTGCTAAAAATGGAAATAAGGTTTGTCTAACTTGATTGTTCTTCGTGAACCCATGTGCTCATGATTCACTTGTTGACACCATGCTTTAGTATTTTCCAGGTATTAAAGCTGAGCTCCCTGGCCTTGGCTTTGCTCATGACATCTTCTCCTTTTGGGAACTTGAGATGTTTGCCCACATCCAGGTCTATTTTACCTCCCTGGTTCTCTGGAACTCCTCCAAGATCACTGGCAGTGACGCAGAAATCTTCCCTGTAAGTTCTCTCAGTGCCCTAGGATGTGGTTCAGTTGGGCCAGGTGACTTGAAGAGTTATAGGGACGCTAGACATCCTTTTACCATCTCCTCACTGATCCTGGCCTGGCTTCACAGACTCCTGTGATGTCTTGGGGAGGGACCTCAGAGGTGAGGGCTAGTCCAACCTGTGCCTGCGCAAGCTTCTGAACTACAACATACCTGACACATCGTCATCTAGCCTCAGTTTGAATACCTTCAGTGACAGGGAGCTCACTATCTCCTGGACCATTCTGGCTTTGGACAGCTCTCACATTGAGCCTAAAAAGTCTTCTTTGTACTTTCCCTCTCTTCCTCTCTCTTAATTTCATCGCCATTTTTGTTCCATGGTTTCCATTTTGAAAGTCATTGTTCTTGAGAAAACTGAAGAAACTTGGGTGCTGGTGGTCCTAATGCCTATTTATGCATCATCACTGAATTTGGGGCTGGAAGGGCCCTGAGAAATCATCTCACCCAATGCCCTTTTTATATAGGAAGGAAAACTGACACCCAGAGAGGTCATACTAACTGCCACGTGTCACACAGCTGAAGAGTGGCAGAGCTGGGGGTGGATGCTAGTCAGCTGACACCAAAGCCAATGATCGCTCCACTGCTCAGTGCACTGTACTCAGCCCCAGGCCTACACTGAGGCCCCAGGTGAGCTAAGTCGTGTTCATTTCCAAAACTTACATCAGTCCAGCACTTCCTGTGGCATCCCTGTAGCCATCTCTCCCCTCCTTTCTTCCTCAGACTCTCTTGTGATAGTCTTGCCAGACTTTCCCCTAGAGATCCCTTTCTTTAGTTCTGGGCTTGGGAATCTGCTTCCCAGTTGTCCGCCCCAGCTGGCATTTGCCTCTTTGCCTCATGAATGCCCGAGCAATGCAGCCACCTTCCTCCCTCTCCATCACCTTCCTCCCTCTCCATCACCTTCATTGCCACTTCATGCCCAAGGCTGATGGGCTCAGTTAAGTGCAGAACAGTGCCCCTCATCTCTGTCTCTACCTCATTCAATTGGAATTGCTGGTAAGGCAGGCAGGAATTTCTCGTGTTTTCTGCTTTCAGCAGAGACAATTCTTTGGTCGGATGATACTGGGCAAGGCCCTCGACCTGTAAGCCTCAGTTCCTGCATTTATAAAATGACAGTGAAAATATCCTTGCTACTGACCTCACTAGGTTGTCTTGGGAAATGAGGGCTAGTTCCCCCTGCTCACCTGGAGCATCCTCCCCTCATGCCTCACATAACCCTAACCTTTCTGCTTCTCCCTTCTGGAATCTACACACACTCACCTTCACCCCAAGGCTGAATGGCATCAGATGGATGGAACTAACAGTGGTAGGGTGTGATGGAAGGGGAAGATAGGGTGGGAATGGGGAGGGTGGTGGGTTTTGCTTCAGTTTTGAGGAAAACCTCCACAAGGAAAGTATGTTTTGGGTGCCTCCCACTTTTCTTTTTGGAGACAAAACTACACCATCCTAGGTAAGCAGAACCTTCCCACTTCAGCTGCCAAGGGCCACCCATTTGGTCCCTTCCCAGAATAGCATTCAGAGGCAGCTAGGTGGTGCAGCAGATAGAGCACCGGCCTTGGAGTCAGGAGGACCTGAATTCAAATCCGGCCGCAGGCACATAACACTTACTGGCTGTGTGACTTTGGGCAAGTCACTTAACCCTGATCGTCTTGCCAAAAAAAAAAAAAAGAATAGCATTCAAAGCCCCACCATCCAAGCTCATCCATCTGCTAGGATGTCTGTCATCAAGTGTCTGTCCCCTAAGGTGACAATAGGCTAATGTGATCAACTATTACAGAATCACAGACATCAGGGTTATGAGACTATATAGTCCTACTCACACCTGACCCAGAACCCTCTCTACAAGAACCCCAAGTGGCCATCCAACCTTTGCCCGAAGATGCCCAATGATAGGAAATGAAGCACCTGGAAAGGCAGCCCATTGCACTTGAGGATGCTTCTAATTTTTAGACAGCTTTTCCTGATATCAAGTCTAAATCTGCCTTTATGACTTCTACCCAGTGGTCCTAGTTCCATCCCCTGGGTCTCAGCAAAACAAGTTTAACTGCATGTCTACATGGCAGCCCTTCAAACACCACCTATTTCCACCCCAAAGCCTCTCTCTTCCAGACTAACCATGTTCAGTTTCTTCAGCCAATGCTTTTCTGGCATGATCTCTAGGCTTGTTGCCAGGTTGGTCACCCTCCTCTGGACATTGTCTAGCTGATCAATGTCCTATTAGCCATTTTTTGTTTTTTTTCCAGTCCAATGGCTATCCTCCTTGGCAAAGAAAATAGAAGGAATATCAGAATGAACTGGCTCTCTCTTCTTTCCATCATCAATTCTTAGCATCCTGTCCTCTCAGAGCTTCAGCCCTATCCCTTCTCTGATCCTTTTTTCTTTCCCAGGTTTCTCTTAAATATGTCTTGTTTATTTTTCTCATGCTTCCTTTCCAGCCTCAGTCCATTATGAGCAGAGGTACTTCCATGATTCCGACAGGACCATGGCACAGCTCGTATTCATCCGCCACTACCTGCCATTGCTTTAACCTTTTGTTTTTAAAATCTAAGTAGGTTGATCTTTGATCTGAGTGTCCTGTTTATACACGTTGGCCTTAGTCACAACTTCTGACTTATGTTCCCTATCATAGTCCTTTTTGTTCTTGAGAAAACTGGGGCCAGCTTCCCTTATAGACCTTTGAGCCAGGGCATTCAATTCAACAAATAATTATTAAGCACCTACTATGTTCCAGATGCTAGGGAAACAAAAACAAGCCAAAAAGACCCTGCCCTTTCTCTAAACTCTTTGAATTCTGATCTTCCAGAATCTAAAGTGCATCTTAGACTGTTCCTGGCTTGCTTCTCCTTCAATCTCACAATTCTAAAATGGAATCATTTCTAACCCAACAGTGAGTTCTTCCTTATTGGTCAGAATCAGATCCAGAATAGCAGTTTCTATTATGATTTCCTCCACCTTTTAAAAAGTGAAAATGTTGTTAAGCTAAATTAAGAACTTGTTAGGTGGTCTGATTTTGGAAGAGAGGAAGAACTCTAACAGATAATGGAGACGAAGTCCTCCATACCTATCTTTTTTTTTTTAAGTGAGGCAATCAGGGTTAAGTGACTTGCCCAACGTCACACAGCTAGTACGTGTCAAGTGTTTGGTCTGAGGCCGGATTTGAACTCAGGTCCTCCTGACTTCAGGGCCGGTGCTCTATCCACTGTACCACCTAGCCACCCCGTCCATATCTATCTTATCAGCCCGCTATGCCAGATTTATGATTTGTTTCCAGATATCTCATCTATTTACTCCTTCTGTTTATGTGGTCTCTAGTATGCCCCAATGACATGACAATGCTTCCCTTTTTCCTTTTGTCAAGTCAACAAGTTAAGTGAACAAGTATTTATTAAGTACCTATTTTATTAAGTACCAAACACTGACTAAGCAAGGTAGTTAGATGGCTTAGTGGATAAAGCAATGGATCTGGAGTCAGGAAGATTCATCTTCATGAGTTCAAATCTGACCTCAAATCCTTAGACTGAAGGTTAGGAAAGGGGTCAGAGCTTGATAAATAGATTTGAGAATCATTAGAAAGATTACAACTGAAGCCACAGGAGATGATGAAATCACCAGGTGAAACAGTAATAGAGGGAAAAGAGAAGAGGGTGCAAGACTTAGCGTTGGAGGACACTCAGGGTTAGTTAGTTTGACCTGATTGAAGACTTAGAAAAAGAGTCTGAGAAGAAGGTAGGAGGAGAATCAGGAGAGAACCATGTTACAGAAACCTAGAAAGAAGAGCAGTATTCAGGAGAAGAGGGGGGTAGACAATATCAACAGCAGCAGAAAGATCAAGAAGGATGAAGATTGAGGAAAGGCCATTGGACCTGGCAATTACATGATCCTTGGCAACTTTGGAAAGAGTGGTTTCAGTTGGATGATGAGGTCAGAAGCCAGATCGCAGGGTTAATGGAGAGTGAGAGGACAGGAAGTAAAGGAGCCCATTACAGATGGCCTTCTCAAGGGGTTTAGCCAGAAAAGAAGGAGAGCTATGGGATGATAGCTACTGGGGATGGATGGACCAAGTTCCCTTTACCCCAGTGCTCTTCACTATTTG